CCCCCCCCCCCCCCCCCCCCCCCCTCTTCCTGGAGACCACCCTAGAATCCCCTATCTCACTGGATTTCAGAAATCCTTCTTCCACCTCCAACTTTCTAATGAAAGATTTTCCAAGCTTAATTGGGCGAGAGAGATATGGAATATATCATTCATTTTAATGTGATTTGCCTCAAAAATATCCCCTCGCCCCTATTTCTGTTTGCTTTTTTTTTCTAAATCTTTGTTTAAAGTTTATGAAATCCAGAAAAGCGTTCAACGTTTGTTTCGTATTTAGGAATGGCGCCATTCGCACGGCATGCGTTGCCTTGGCATACCAAATACAGCACATTTCGCGAATATTACAAAAATTTCGGATGCCGTTGAGCTTTGGGCTAAAATTCGACGACAGAAGGAAACACTGAAATGGAATCCGGAAATTGACGAGGAATTTGAGGATTCAGCGGGAAATGTTGTCAATAAACGAACGTATGAAGACCTCAAAAGACAGGGACTTCTTTGAGTATCTTTATGCATTTTTATGCAGTTTTGTTGAAAATTGTATTTTTGAGGAAAATAAAGACACTGGTGCTTTGTTGCCCTTATTTTCGGTGTGGTTTATGGGAATATGCGTTAAATTTTAAAAAAGAAGATAATATTAGCCGCTAATTTTTAACCTCTGACCATGGCCACTAAAAATTTTGGCGTCGGAGCTTGCTTGGTTGCCGAGTTGAAATACCTGAACAGACGCACTCACAGACAGGTGCATACATACACGCACACACACACACACACACACACACACACCACGATCATCACAATATGCGTTTTTGCATTTGTATATAAGTAGAAACGCCTGAAAATGAACTGGATAGCAGTTTTGGGGATGTTTTTTTTTTTAGAATCACTATTTTAAGAGGCAATAAGTTGACCCAAACGGTGTTCACGTTGAAAAAAGAGACCTGCAGTAGAAGTATGGAAATGCATCTGAAACCCCGTACAAATATTTTATTGATATCTTATTGCCTGTTGTTCGAGTATGTCATTCATAGAGTGTCAGAGGCCTGGGCCTTTATCCCGTTTCAGTAGTAGTTCTAGGCTTAGGTTCGGGGAAAAGTAAGAAAATTGTAGGATGAGGCATGATTCGAAAAACCAGTTTTATTTACCTCGATCGTATAAGTTAACTCTCTTATTTATATGCCCGTTGTTTGCCTATTTCTAATATAAAGTGTCATGAAAATTAAAATTCTTTTGTTACATACTGTTTTGTTACATATTTACTTGAATACTTGAGCAGCTGTATGTCATCGACGTCCGTTGTCACGCCACC